GGGGGGGGGGGGGGGTGGGGGGCCCTAGTGTGAGCGTTCTCCCACAAGCTCGCCAGATAACTAACTGCCCGCCGATAAACGCCCGGATAAATGCCCGGACAATCGAAATCTGGAACCCCAATCTACCCCGGGGCCTGCGGATTGTTGGGGAAACATGTTTGGTTACGCTTTGCAGATTTCCTTGAACTTCTCTTGATCACCGCCTTTGTCGGGGTGGTGCTTGATGGCAAGTTTCTTGAAGGATTTTTTGATTTCATCTTGCGTCGCGGTTTTTTCGACTCCGAGGTTGCGGTAGAGCGTCTCATTGTCTATCTCCTTACGCGGCATTCCGCCGCCGCCCATGCCCGCTGCATCAAAAGGGAAGCCGCCGAAGAACATTTCAGAATTTTTTGCCCGCCAGAAAATGCGGCCAGTGAGTATGAGTGCCCGGCTGGGCGGCGAAGACGAAACCGCGCCGGCGGACCAGCCGCTGTCGGCCCAGACGGTTGATACGCAGTGTCCCTCCCCAGGGCTGGTTGGGTCCGGCGTCGTAACCGTCCCTAATGGCATTACGGGATCGTTGGAGCTGAAGCGCGTGGCCACAGACGGGTCTGGGCTGGTCCCCGGTCCGGGTGTTGCTAATCAGGGCGTTGCCACCAGCCACCGAGGACTCGTTGCTACCACAGAACCGGGTCGGCAGTTGCCACTGGTCGGCTTCGTTCCGTACAAGTACATCGCTCTGTTCCTGCTCGTGGCGCAGACAGTGGCAGCCATCTTTGTAATGCGCGTCTCGCGCACTACCTACGCCGACCCTACGACCCCGTACCTTGTAACCACTGCCGTCGCCATGGCGGAGTTGACCAAGTTTGTGTGTTCCGCGGGCCTCGTCCTGCGTGACGTAGAGTACTCATTCGGCACGGCCTGGGCACATATAAAGACGGAGATGATCGACAACCCTCTCGGTACGCTCAAGGTGAGCGTACCCGCTTTTCTCTACACTCTACAAAATAACCTCCTTTTCATCGCACTCTCAAACATCTCCGGCGCGGTCTACCAGGTTACATACCAACTCAAAATACTTACAACCGCCGTACTCTCCGTTCTCATCCTCCACCGACGCCTCAGCATAGACCGCTGGCTCTCCCTAGTCCTACTCACCTCCGGCGTCGCTCTCATCCAACTACCCTCCGGCCAAGAGACCAAAGCTCAAGGCGACCCCGTGGTCGGCATCTGCGCCGTCCTAGCCGCCTGTGTCACCTCCGCACTTGCCGGTGTCTACCTTGAAAAGGTCCTCAAGGACACCAAGACCTCCATCTGGCTCCGTAACATGCAACTCGGCCTCCTAGGCACCGCCCTAGCTGTCACAGGAGCCTTCTGGTCAGACTGGACCAAAATTCGCCAACACGGGTTCTTCCAAGGCTACAACGCCGCCACCTGGGCAGCCATACTCATGCAATCCGCAGGCGGACTCATCGTCGCAGCCGTACTGAAATACGCAGACAACATACTCAAGTGCTTCGGCAACGCACTCGCCATCGTACTCTCCTGCCTCGTCAGCTACTACATCGTCGGAGACTACGTACCCACTTTCCTGTTCGCCGTGGGCACCCTCTTCGTCATCACTGCCACCTACACCTACGGTGTCGACTACCCAATTTTGTTCTACGCCGCCAGACCCAAAGTCCTACTCCGCCCCATCTTGAAAAAGTACCGCCCTCCATCCCCACTTACCCTCCATTCACCGCCGCACCCAATGACTTGCTTATCTTCTCAGACTCGTTCGCAAAACCGAAGCTCCTGCCGAGGAAGCTTCAACCGATCCTCAAACCGTGTAAACCAAAAATTAATACGGCGGGTCGTAGCCCTTGCCGTCTCGACCCTGAGCGCGGGCGACCTGTGCACGGCATTCTTCTTCCTGGCCGATGCAGTCTCCTCCGTCGAATTTGCATTGTTTGTTGAAACACATGCAGTCGCATTGACCGTCGCCTATAAATTCTTTTCGGCAAGCATTGTACTCAAATGGCATTGTTTTGTAGTCAATAGGGTAGATTTTGCAGTAGCCAGCACAGTCCCCCATATCCCACGTGCACTTCTCGTTCATGCAAGCCGCATCGCATAGTCCGTTGCCGATTTTGTCAGCCGTACAACCCGGTGCACACTCACCGCAGTCGCCCTTGTCAAAAAAGCAAGACTCGTTGTTACATAACGTGTCGCACTCTCCGTCACCCAGCCACTGGGTGAAGCATCCGGCGGAACACTGATCTGCAAGTCCAGAAAGAATAATCGTCTTGACAACTTCGCTTACGACGGCAGTCACCAGAGTCCCAGTTGCACTCGGCTGAATTGCATTCCCAATCACAGTGGGCGTTGTTCAGCAGCCGCGGCTCGCACTTGCACCCGCCGTAGTCAAAAGCAATTGGATCCGGAGGAGGGAAACCAATGTGATTTTCTGAAAATACACGTAAGTTGCAAGAGTGAACCCATAAGCGCGCTTACGCTCGTATTTGCCGTCGCAATCCCCTCCGTCCCACTTACATTCCTCTCGGAAGCAATCTAGGTCGCATTTCCCGTCTCCTGGCCATCCCGGCTTACAATCCGGAGCGCACCAGCCATCGCAATCATGCCCGTCGTAACCGCACTCGCTCGTATAACAGGCTGTGTTACACCACTCGTCCTTCCACATGTGGTCGACACATTCCATCTGGCATTCAGGATGCTCCGCTCGAACTCGGTCGACTTGCGCGAATACTCGTCCCTTAACTTTGAGAACGTTGTTTTCGTTCGGAGCCACCGCCTGACTAATGATTCCAAAGGCCTCCTCTTCCGCTAACGGTCGTTCTACCTCTTGGGCAAGACTTTGGAGCAAAAGAATGCAGCCATAATGACTTAACATTAATGTAAATGCGCTCCGCACACGTGTGCGCAAACTATAGACATCATTGAATTTCCGAAAAATTGGCAATGTTCATTTAACATGGTCCGGTACGGCATTCAGTATTAGATGTCGTATGCTCCTGACCTTATTAATCTTTATAGCGCTGGACGTTTCCTCTTCGAGCAGTTTAGGATAATTTCTTAGCAAATCGTCGACAGTTGACTGATGGAGGTGAGTGCGGTCTGAGAAAGAACATGTACATCGCCCCTCAAATTAACAGGTGAAAGTGCTGCTGGCGTTGTGCAATATTACCTGCTACTCGTGTTAACAAATGCCAAATTCGCTCCGTATCTAATGTTTGTGTTTTACTAACTACATTAACCAAGTATTCGTATGCGGTAACAATGATCTCAGCCCGTTGTGAGGGCAGAGTCTGGGGTAATAAGCCTCTGAGTAGAAGCCCAAGCAGAGCACCTTGCTTGATTAACGGATGGACGGTGCGGTAATTGGTTACGTAAAGAGCCTTTTGAACCATGTCATGTTGGGCGGCTATTGTCCTAACGAACGGGTTGTCTTCGTCTGTAATCAGAACGGACAGTTAAATGGGATGAGAAATCGGCGTCCCGGTGATGTCGTTTTATAGATGATGTGCGTGGGAATGGGAGCCAGAGTGGTGAATCAGACTGGTGGAACTTACGTAAAGGTTCGATGGCCTGAGCGAAACTTTTAATCAGGTCGGTAGCCTCAGTATAGGTTTCCGGAATAGGCGAAAGGCCACTAGGCGGCCTATTGTCATTGTTTTCGACCCACTGGGTGATGCTGTCGCCAGCAATGCATTGTAATTCAAGGAGTGTGAACGTGCGATATTCATCTCTTGCAACAAGCTGTTTTAGCCATGAGTGTCTGATGGCAGCTCCCAGATCCTGATGGTGGAATAAGACCGTGTCCACTACCGATCGGAGAGCGCAGTAGTGAAGAGGGGAAGTAACCGCCCGGTTGTTAACCCACCAGGTAGCGTCCAATAAAGTCTCTTCCGTGGCATCTTGCTGAAATATCAGAAGCATCATGGCTATGGGACTGATCCATTGAGCGACCTTCTTCTCCAGGCCATAGGACCATTCAGCGTCAGTGGTTCCCCATTCCTTGCCGTTTCGCATCCAATGTTGGGCATGTACCCAGTCCTCTCCGATTGCGCATGAACTTTCTCCAACCGCGCGTTCTCCGATTGCGCGTTCTCCGATTGCGCGTTCTGTGACTGAACTTTCTCCATCGCCACATCCATCTGGCATGTCTTGACCTCCATCGACGGAGTTGGCTTCCGCTGGTGCCTCATTGGGTCGTGCTTCATCCTGCACTAGCCAACATAAGTCCTCGGTGGCATTAAGTAGAGATCTGGTGATGTCTGACACGGCGATGGGGAAGTCCAGGTAGATCTGCAGAGCAATGATGGACGGGACCAAGGGCAAGTACATGTCTCTATGGTTCTCCAGTAGCGCCAGCAGCTGGTCCACGTCGTTGCCCAAAACCAAAGAATAAGCCACGTCCGACAATGGCAAGTACTTGCTATCCAAGCGCTGCTGGTGCCACCACCGCTGGAACACGCATCCAATAGCATTCTGATCAGAGAAAGAATCGTCAACCAACAGGTCCATGAGCTTATCTTGGTTCCAAACCAGCGCAGCACAAAACCAAGATATCCCACCACCAGACACGGCCCGCCCGCGCTGGTCTACTGGATGAGCCGTAGAACCACCGGCCGTAGAACCACCGGCCGTAGAACCACCGGCCGTAGGGCCACCGTAAACCCTCGAATCCGGCGGGCCCTCATCCCCCCGAACTTGGTCGCTTCCGCGATACAGCGGTGCCGAAGCCGGAAAGCTACCACGTGGGCCCATGCCACCACGTGGGTCCGTACCACCGCTCGGGCCCACACGACCACTAGGACCCATGCCACTTGGGCCTATGCCAATGCCGCTAGCGCCGTCCCGCGACCCGTTGGTCATCTGGACGAAGTCGTCGTCAACGAAGTCGTCGTCATTGTTGGCAAACACCTGGCGAAGCAGGTCTCCGATTACGTCGTTCACGTTCCCCGTGGCGATCGCCAGTGCTCGCTCCTCCTGTGACCGCAAGGTCTCCGGAAACCCCAGGGCCCCGATTCGTGAACCCCAGTTGCCGAATTCTTCAGCAACGACGCTTCCTCCCGGCCGAGTGTCCCCCGCAAGATTGTCTCCAACCAAATTCCCTACGTCCAGCAAGCTGCATCCACCGAGCAATGTCACCAGCGGCTTCAGCAAGTGCTGGTCGCTCATCTTCAGCGAACACTCATCCAAGAACACGCGCCGCACCTGCAACCGGAACGCGTTGAATGCGCCCTCGCTTCGCATCGCATGATTCGGGTCGCCCAAGTCCGACCAATTATAACGGTTCCGGGGAAAGCGGTGGTTGAGTAAGTTCTGCAAGTCACATAGATGGCAGGCCCAGGATCCGGTAGAGGCTAGGTCGGAATCTAGGCTAGGTCACAACCTAGGCTAGGGCAATCCCAGAGTCCAGGGCAGAGTGCGACTTACCAGGAATTCCGTGTATGCTTCATCGGTGTATGTGAAACACCGGTCAATGAGATATAGTGCATGTTCCCAGAACCCGAACATGAAGAGCCTATAGCACATTGGATTCAGTGCCAGTAACAAGGCGGCCAACAGTGCCAGTAACAAGGCGGCCAACAGTGCCAGTAACAAGGCGGCCAACAGTGCCAGTAACAAGGCGGCCAACAGTGCCAGTAACAAGGCGGCCAAGATATGCCCCCCCCTTTTAGGGTGTGTCCCCCTTTTAGGGTGTGTCCCCCCTTTTAGGGTGTCCTTTCGAGGGTAGCTTACGTGAGAATCCGGTTGGAGATGGCGCTGTGCGACTCTTTGTCGTGGAAGGTCTCGCTGGCGCCCCTACAGGCGCTGATAGCGTAGACTCGTTTCTCAACGTCGATGATCAGGGCGAGGCATTCTTGGAAGATGCCATCAGCGTCGAGCCCGGCGTCTGCCTCGGCAGCCCAGCTGAGTAGGTTGAGTGCTTGGGTCCAGACTATGCGTCCGGTTTGAGTGCTGGTTTCATCGCTGGCTTCGCTAATTTCGACGCGCGCGTCTGAGCGCGTGTGGGTGTATGTGTCCGAACGTGGCGAAGACCAGAGACAGGCGTAGAGAGAGAGTAGGAGAGTGGACCGTCGTACGACGGTGAGTGAGTTTAGTTGTGCTTCGTCCAATTGGTTTGCATCGACCTCACTAAAGCGTGCGACCAGCGCCGTGGGGAGCTCCGCACGGGGCGTGAACCGTGTGCGACGTAGGTTTCGAAGCGCGCGCCTCACATTCGCCTCACCCGTCTGCCGTCCACCGCCCGGCCACGCTCTTTCCTCTGCTTCCCGTTCGTTCCGCCAGTTCTTCTTGAACACTGCGTCAGAAATCCACTGCAGGTCGCCCAACCCCTGCGCCTTAATGACATTCCACAATGCGCCCTGCAGCGCCTCCGTGGCGCTCGCTAGCAAGGGTCCGTCCTGCTGCGACCGGGGCATCGTCATTAATATTTCCTGCGATGACCGACAGCCTGGAGGTAGTGCCTCTGGGTGCAGGATGCGAAGTCGGACGGTAAAAACCACGACTGTAACCACACCGTAACCACGACCGTAGCCACGTTACGAGGGGCACGCACGAGTCAGCAGAGGTAACTGCGTTGTTTCAGGTCGTGCATAAAAGTGTCATATCACGGCAAGACGATACTGTTGGATTGCGGTATTCATCCAGCTCATTCCGGATTGCCTGCGTTGCCGGTGTTCGACGGGGTGGACTTGAGTAAAGTGGATTTGTGTCTGGTCACGCACTTCCACCTGGACCACTGCGGCGTGGTACCATATCTGTTGCAGCACACGTGGTTCCGGGGTAAGACGATCATGACGGAGCCGACGAAAGCGATTTGTCATCTGGTATGGAACGACTTTGCAGCATTCGCGCGGCATACGAGTAAAAGTCCGTTGTACACTGAGCAGGACATCCGCGCATGTTTGCCTAAGATCGATGTGATGCATTTCAATCAAACGGTGGTCTACAACGGCATCGAGGTGACGGCCTTGGGGGCTGGACATGTAGTCGGCGCGTGCATGTTCCTTGTGGCAATTGATGGCGTGAACATTCTATACACTGGGGACTACAGTGCCGAAGATGAAAGACATGTACCCCAAATTTACGTACCACCATCCTTCAGTGTGCAAGTGTTAATTTGCGAAGCCACCTACGGCATTCGCAACCACGAGGCGAGACACGCACGCGAAGCACGGTTTTTGGCAACTGTGGAGAACATTGTTGTCGGCCGTAGGGGCAAGTGTCTGCTACCTATCTTCGCCTTGGGCAGAGTGCAGGAACTGCTTTCTATGCTCAACGAAAGATGGCAGCAAAATCCGGCCCTACAGTCTATCCCTATCATTTACCTCTCCTCGCTCTCCGGCAAAGGCATTCAGATTATGCGCGAATACGCCGCAACCTACGCTGGCACCTATGTTAAGAATAAAGCACTCCGTGGCCAGAATGCTTTTGCATTCAAATATGTAAAGTCAGCCAGGTCGCTCGAGGAGGTTACCTCCATCATCAATAACGACGACATGCCTTGCGTCGTCCTAGCCGCACCGGGCATGCTCCAGTCCGGACCGAGTCGGGAGATATTCGAAATGTGGTGTGGCGACAGACGCAATGGCATCATCTTAACTGGCTACACTCTCAGAGGCACTCTAGCCGACCAACTCAAGTCCCTACCGTCATCCATTGTGCGATCGGACGGACGCGAAATACCCGTACGGTCTTCTTTTGATATCATCTCATTCAGTGCTCACGCCGACTTTGACCAATCCAATCGACTCATTGACGCAGTCCAACCCCCCGTGGTTGTACTTGTTCATGGCGAGAAAAATGAAATGAAGTCTCTCCAACAAAAATTGGCCACCATTCGACCGTCTCTAGCTGTCTTTGCGCCCCAGATACTCCAAAAAATCACCGTCGAGTTCTCCCAGCAACATGATTCCGAAATTGTTGGACCTACCCTAGCCAAACACGTTCTAGAATCTAACGAGATTGCCGACTTCCAAACGGAGGCAATTGTTCTCAAAAAAGACGATACAAACCAGTTCGTGGCCGAGGAGGACCTCTCTGACTTGCTGCAGACATCCGTTTTCAGTATTGACGTCGATACTGATTTTCTTCTCGACAAGCACACACGTGCGCTAATCCAAAATTCCCCGAACAATGACGAGGCGTACGAACCAATTACACCCGATCATGATGCCGAGCAGAATCTCGAGAAAGTCTCTGAGGCATCCGATCCGAATGTAGGCGCACCATGCAGCGTAGGCCAGATACCGGCGATGGTCCCAGGAGAGCAAACTGCAGACGATCTTCTCGCTTCGATAGTTGAGCTAAAAGAAGAGTTCAACGCTCCAGCCGTTGCAGACGACCCGCAGCTAGGTCTGGACTCTTTCAAAGAGCAACCAAGCTTAAACATGGTGCCAAGCTCAAGTCTGGTGCCAAGCTCAAGTCTGGTGCCAAGCTCAAGTCTGGTGCCAAGCTCAAGTCTGGTGCCAAGCTCAAGTCTGGTACCAAGCTCAAGTCTGGTGCCAAGCTCAAGTCTGGTAGCTGAAGACGGGCTTAAAGAAGATGAATTCGAAGAAAGAACAAGAGAAAAAGCGCACGACGAAGGTGACGAGGTGAATGATGACCAAGCCCTGGGTATGGCGCATCATGACTCGACGCAGGGGGATTTAGAGAAAGAGAAACATCCTATTCAACGCTTGCTTGGAGCTCTGATGGAGACCAAGGCCAAATCAATTCCTGGCTACCCGGGGGCCCCATGGAAGATGATTTCGCCATTAGCGGCCGAATCTGACTATATTCGTCTCACTCTCAATGATGATTGTTCGATTTTGAACGTTTCTTTCTTATGGACTGAACAGAGAATGGAAGTGTATTATTTCTGGGCGTATTTGTTACTGGAACATACGAAGTTGGCTCCGGAAGAAACTGCTAGCGAAAGAGTTATTGTGAGACAACTATTGGAGAGCAAACTTAAAATCGAACAACCAGGATGAACAAATTAATACGGCTTAATGTGAACAGATCAAGGTTACTGAGCGAGCTGAGATGGACTGCACGGTTCAATCCGCATTGGAATGTGCCTTTATAGACATGTATATTGTGTCCGTACAAATACATGTCTGGGAAGGCATTGCCACGTGCGGACAAGACAGGTGTTGGTGGCGACCCCCCAACAAGAGCGGTATAAGAGTGGGTCCCTGCTTGAGCTGTGGACGCGTGCGAGGAAAGGTGGTGGCACACTCATGCTTCATTGAGGGTCGAGTCATGGGTCACGTCATGGGTCACGTCGTGGGTTCATCAATATCTAATATCTAATGTCAATGGATTATGCAGAAGAGCTAAAAAGCTATTAAGCGTCATTGAGAGGGAACTAGTTAATAGTTAAGTTGCGAGATTTGGACAGTGGAGGAGTCTAGTTGTCGAGCAGTGAATACTTCTGGGTTCATTTGCACAAAGAGACCTGTCTCAATGACTCCGTTGATCGTTTTGAGTTCCCGACAGAGTTGTACTGGATCCGAGATTCCGTTCGAGAACGTGACGTCTAGCACGTAATTGCCGTCGTCCGTTCGGAAGGGTTCTTCGTCTTGATTGTTCCGGATGGTCATTGAGACTGGTCCTTGAAGTGTGTGGCAAACACGTTCGACGCGCTGCATGATGGCGTTGGTGCTCCAGGTACCGATGTCAACGGGCAGGGTCCCAGCTCCAAGTTTTTGTACCAGCTTTGAGCTGTCAGCAATCACCACAAACCGCTTCGCTAGTAGTTCTATCAATTTCTCGCGGTAGAGCGCACCACCTCGTCCTTTGATGATGTTGGCCGCTGGGTCTATCTCGTCGGCACCGTCTATTGCTAGATCCACCGAAGGGTTCGTGCCAAGTTCCTGCACTTCCACTACCTGTAGTCCCTCGGCCCTAGCCTTCGTCACCGTGTCTTGACTGGTGCATACGAACTTAAGTCGGTTGATGTTGGACGAACCTTGTCTCAACAAAATACCCAGTTCCTTGACTAACCACGTGGCTGTGGATCCGGTTCCGAGTCCCACTACCTTTAAATCATTCCTGTCGCCACTTTGTTCCTTGTCGTCCTTATGTTCTATATCGGTGAGTGCATTGTTGAAATACTTGGCGACTGCATACTTAGCAACTGCCCTCTTGGTAACTTCCTTGGGTTCAATGTCCTTCCAGTCGTCCCCTGTAATGTCAATGCGATTGGGTGCACTCAAGTCGACGTGAGCGTTCATCTGGGTGTGTATAAAAAATAGAGCGTGTGTAAAATTTGGCAAGGCCACCTCGAGGTATGTCTGCTACCATCCGCAACCGGACCACGAACCGAACCTTTACTCGGGCGACGGATGAGAGCGGCTGGGTGCGTGCTGATGGAGTATCGCAGACGGTTTCCTTATCAACAGGCGACCTGCGGAGTCTCCATGAAAACTCCGAGGAACTACCTACAAAGGAGGAAGCATACAGCGATGACGACCACAGCAGCAGCTCGTCGACCAGTCGGTTCATTATGCGCTGGTTCAATTCAGATGCTATCAAGCCCTTTCAAGACCGAATTACCGGCATCATGGGAACTACCTTCAAGAGACAAACCTCGGCCGGCTCCCAACTGGACTAAATCCTGAACCCCAAATTAGCCCAACGATGTCCACATCTAAGTGATGTGTTCCGGACCTGTACTAGCCGGCGTTACCTTAGTCTATAGTAAAACGGCAAGCTTTTAGCGTTTAAGTCATGACGCTAAATTTTCGATGCGTCGATTCTCACTCGAGGCACCCACCACTTTGTACTATATTATAGTACTATAGTTGTATCTAGCTGTACCGTAACAATGTGTAGTCGTACCTGGTTAAACCTGTACCTAGTTGAACGAGTATAGATTGAGTCTGTACCTACAGATTGGATATGAACCAATTCACGACCGAATTTAGAAGCCGGTTTTAGCAGCAGATTTCGGAGATCGATAACCGATTTTTGAGCACAACCTTTTTGACGCTAGCTTCAACGGTGGCTGGCCTGCGAAATGCAAGTAAGAGGGTGCAGAGGTGTAGCTGATGGATAAATTCTTACAGAGAGTGACACGAGTATGTAGAAGGTTAGCAAGGAGACGTGCCTTGTGCTTTGCTATCTCTATTTTCGTTATAACAGCATGCTTTACTGTTGCATTATGGAGGTCTATGCTATTGGCACCCGGCAGCACTCTGGAGGAACAAGACCGCTCCAAGGCGCTCCAGGTGGAGCGAATTTCAGCGTTTGCCTCAGCAGCGCTTCAGGCGGGCGCAGAGGATACGGAGCTCTTGACCGGTCCCCAATCGCACCCCTTGTCCGGTCAGCAGACCGGAACGGAATACCTCGTTCACAATACCTCGTTCATATCTCCCGGTAGGACGGGCAAGCTTCTGAACCATTGGGGTGGTCCGACAATAAAGAGAGAGTATTTGGACGACCTCAAATGGAATTATTTGCTGGAGGAGAAGCAGGTACCCTATGTAGGGGACCGGAGGTGGTTATCTGAGCTGGCGCCAGGTCATCCTTTGTATTCGAATATTCTGGCAGTGTTTGCCAACGCGCGCGACGGCCACGAACACGGTGATTTAGGTCAGTCTGTTGACGGCCAGCGGTTGTGGCAGCCTCCAGTGACAAAGCCTGCAGCCTATGATAGTCTTTCAGATGCACAGCAGAAGCAGGCGATGCGAGCGCGCGGCTTTTATGAGGCCTTGAGCGACGCGCTGCCGGTCGACCGCCAAGTGGAAGACATGCGGGAAAATGTCTGTTTGGCGCAGCAAAAGGATTTTGACGTAAAGGAGTTGCCAGATGCTAGCATAATTATTACTTTTGTGAATGAGCCTTTGTCCACTTTGTTGCGTACTGTCCATAGTGTTTTGAACAACTCGCCTTCTCCGTTGTTGCGCGAGATCATCTTGGTAGATGACCACTCGAACTTCGCTGACGACGTGCCTGGCGGGCCACTGTATACGTACATCCAGTACCTGCCAAAGGTGAAGTTGATGCGCTTGCCGGAACGGCGAGGCATCGTCAAGGCGCGGCTGGCTGGCGCTCGTGCGGCGCAGGGCCAGGTCTTGGTGGTGCTGGACTCACACATCGAGGTGAACCCGGGTTGGCTAGAGCCTCAGTTGCACCGGATTGCGGAGTCTCCGCAATCTTTAGTGTTCCCGCAAATCCTGGGCTTGTCACCAACTACGTTCGAACAAAAGAGCAACTCTGGGATTGGTTGCCACGTAACGTGGCGCTGGTCCGTGGTGGAACAGAGTGCCCTGACTGGTGCGGTCACAGATACTTCTCCGGTCGCCTCCCCGTCGATGGCCGGGGGTCTGTTTGCCATCAGTCGCGAGTTTTTCTGGGAACTCGGCGGCTACGACGAGGGCTTCATTGCCTGGGGCGCCGAGAACGTGGAAATGGCTTTCAGAGTATGGATGTGCGGAGGTCGCGTTGAGTGCACCCCCTGCAGCAAAACCTACCATATTTACCGAAAGGGCAGCACAGGGTACCAAAACCCTGTGGGGGCTTTGTGGACCAATCGGATGCGTACTGCCCGGGTCTGGATGGACGAATATTTCCAGGTAGCCGAAAAGCTCATTGCGGTCTCTGCAAACGCGCCTCATAGCCACTCGTACGGAAACCTGAACGACATGCTGAAGCTCAAGAAACGACTCGCCTGCAAGTCCTTCCGGTGGTACCTGGAGAACGTGGACCCCACCCACGACCTGCAACAACTTGACGACGTACTAGGACTGGGCCGATTCGGCCGCAGTTACCAGATCGAGCCCACAATACTTGTTCGCAACACCACCAATGACCAACGCCCTGGACGAGGAACATCGAAGCGAGAAGAAAGCCTATGTTTAGATCTGAACGGTTCCAAGACACCCCCCTCACCGGTGAAGAGCTATCGATGTCATTCACCGACCCAATATTCCGGCAACCAAGGATTCTTCATTGTCAAGGACGACCAGCGGATTCGTCTGATGAGCAACGACAAACGATGTATCGCATTTGACTACAACGAGAAGCTCGTCATAACTCAGTGCAACGATAAAACCTCTGTCAACTGGCAAATTGATTTACTCGATATGCAGAACTTGCCCGAGTGGCTCCGAACTCTCGATGAGAGCTCCATCGCCAGCACACCCGTGCGAAGACTCGCCCCCACTGCCGTGAGGACGGACTCCGTCAAACAATGGATCAAAGCTAAATGGAAAAATGACAAATGCTTAACCATCTACAAGGACCTCCCTCAACTCACACCATGCGACCAAGAGGACGCCATTCTGTGGGTCGATAAATTCACTCCAAACAAGGACTTCCAACTACCGCAAATTGTTTCGTCCAGACTTCGGGGAGGCAATACCTAGACCCCAACTGACCAAGTGCAAGGCAATATAAGCTTGGTGAGCCTCAACTCAATGGACAAGAGCTTCCTGAGTGTTGTTCAACACACTCTCAGCAATGGTCGACCATGCACATTCGGGTACAAGGTTCCCGCTTCGAGCCTCAACTCCGCTTTGCGTGGGGCGCGAGCTTGCAGAGAGTCGAGATGGATAGCGAGCCTTGTCCGTTTGGCGGAAGCGGCAGGCGCAATTAGCTGACCTGACTGATGTGCTATCAGCTCATGCGGAGATGACGCAGTAGTGTAGACAACAACCATTACTTGGTCGGTTCGGTGCACAAGAATCTTGGTTTCGTATGGATATCGCTTTCGACAAAGAGCGTGTGCGTTGGCCCTTTTAGGATTCCCACAGTCGCATTGCGCTGAACAGAGCATAGCGCTGGCGGTAACACAGCGCTGGTGGTAGCACAGCGCTAAAGAGAGAGTGTAGCACTCGACAGAGCACAGTAAGTCTTTTTGTAAGAGACAAGTTCCCGAGTGTTCGTAAAATCGGGAGGGCTGGGATCAATTTCGAGGCGTTGTGAGGGTGGTTTTCCCGTGCAAAAAATGCAGGATGAGAGTGCCGGGCAAGCTCCGGCTCCGGTAGCGGATTGGGTGTTGGGTAAGTGCGTAGATGATTGAGTGTAATTTTGTAGATGCAATTCGGACGACTGAGGAGAGTGTGCTGTTTGCTGTGAATGTATTCCAATGGCAGGGCATTGACTTAGACGCGTGCAGACAACGGCCAGTGAGGGAATGGAGTGCAGATGTGAGGAGTTATAACGCGCGTACAGTGCGCGATGGGGTGGTATACTACGTGCCGGTACAGACGCCGTCTCCTAATGCGACCAAGACGGAGTCCTCGGCGAAGCGAGAGGACACGGCAATGGAGGCGTCGGCAGTTGGTGGTAAGGAGAACGCGGAGGGGGAGGGGTCGAAAGAATTAGCTTCATCCCCCGCGGGTACTGCATCAAGTGAAACACAGCACTTCCGTGTGCTGGCTGTGGAGATTCCGATGCCGATGGAGTCAGAGGCGGCAGGGGTGGCGGCGGTGGACTCTCTGACTGAGTTTGAGAGTGAGGTCGCGGTCGGTGTGAATGCGCAAATACCTCAAACCACTGGTTCTCGCGCGACACTTTACTCAGTGCTGGAGGGACTGTTGCAGGAACAGAAACTTTCGGCGGAACAGCGGTCCCAATTGACGCACGCTGTCTTCTCGTTTTTGCAATGTGAAGTGCCGCTCTCGAGGCTATACAGCCAAATGTCGAGCATCGTGGGCTACTCGACTCTGCGGCAAGTGATCCAGCAAGTGGAAGGAGTCAGCGACGCGGCTTCCAAGCCCGCCCCCGCTGCGGTCTCTTTGGGCAACGTGGTCAGCTTTCGCAAAAGCCAACATGCAAGCTACCCGATTCCCGACTATTGCTTCCTCACGGCTGCGGGACGCGCGGCGTTTTTTGCCTCACCGCGTGTGTCGCAAAATGTCAAGAGCAACTCCGCTGCCCACTCAGCACCCTGGCACGTAGACGTGCCCCTGGACCCTCGGAGCAGTCATCGGGTTGGCCATGTGGCTGCAAGCTGCGCAGGCTACATCTTCATCACCGGCGGTGTGCTTGAAGGCCAACAAAATCCCACGGGCTGGGACTCCCTCAGTGTGGTTAATAAGCACACCTTCCAGACTGTCGAACACGACCTGACGGGCTCCGTCCCAGTAGCTCCATTTGGCGTAGGCTCCCTGATCGTGGGCAGTCTCGGTAGCTACAGCTCTTCGGACTGTCTATTAGTTTTCGGCGGGACGATGAGTCTGAGTGTGGTCACTGATGCAATCAATTCAGCTGGCCGCCAAATGCAGCCTTGCGATATCGTGCGCGATTTGCGTGTACTTGACTTCCAATCCCTCCGATGGTCCAAGGTCATTACTTCTGAAGACCAAAGCCCCGGTGCCCGCTGTTTCCCCGTCATGGTCCCTGTTCTGCAGCCGCGCAATAGCGGAGCAGCCGAGGTCATTGGAGTCGCTCTCTACGGCGGCCTAGGCAAACCCGAGCGGCCTGCCGCGCTTGACGACGCTTGGTACCTCGCGCTGCAATCCGACCAGCTCTGGCGCCCTGTCACCTGCGCCAATAACGAACCGCTGTTTGGCGCAGCCGCGGTCTGCGCCGGCCCCAACAGGTGGCTAATTTGCGGCGGCTACGGTGCTAGCGAAGCCATTCGAGTGCTCTCCGTACACGTCGACCCCTGCAACCGGGACCCCGGCAGCCGGGACACAAGTATCAGGCCCGGCGAAAGCCGCAATGATCTGCGCGGCGCCGAAAATGCGCGCAGCACACGTGTGCGCATGGTCCTCGAACCGCTCCCTAACTCGCAAGATCACGTCTGCGGCCGCCGCGCCTTCTGCTCAGGCATCATCATGAAGGCAGAAGGCGCCCAGTTCGAACCAGTCGAGCTGGGGACTACTCTGCACCGAACCACGCCCACTGCAAAGAACCTCCTCTTCCTCTCCGGCGGCGCAACGGACCAGGAGCTTCCGCTCTGCCCCATTTCCGTGTTCGAAGTCATATCCGACGGCGAGGCTATAATTGCGCTTAATTTCCTGCGGACTGTCCAGCCTCAAACGCGGCCTGGCTGTCCGTATATGCAAAACCCGCTTCCTAGACTCTGCGAGACATCAACCTTTATACCGCATGTGCCCTTTCACCAAAAGCACTTGACGAGACAACCGCCGTGCTTACCAGGCTTCTTCGTTTCCGGGGGGTTCTCTGTGAGCAATACCCGGTCGACTGTACCTGTTCCAGTCGATTTCAGTTCCACCGAGCTGATAACCTTGCACTCAGTCGATCCCTACCGGCTCACCTGGAACACTACAGACGGTAGAGAAGCCGACGGGAGGGAGGTAGTGGGTAGCAAGGACGCAGCTGGCGGAAGGGACGCAAGGGATGGAACAGGCCATATGACGCAGGATGCCGACCGACTCCTACACGCTGCCGAGATTGTAGTGGACGACGATCTCGAGACACTGAGCATCTTAGACAAGCGGGGCGTCACCGATGAGACTCGTAATATGTTCAAGCTCTTCGAAGAATCCACCCGCCATAATCCAAAGTGGTTGAAAGACCTGTGCTTTACCCCGGGACTCCTAGTCACTCTCGGCACCATGGTTCCATGGCCGTTCACTGCCATCGGAGGACTAATGGAGAACTCGTGTCATCTGACTACCAGAGCGTCTCACGTCGCCCTTGACATTGGTCTCGCTAAAAACGGCCAATTCTTTCTCTCCTTTAGCGATAATGGCAAAGGTCTCGGATACTCCGGCATGCACAAGGTCCTCAAGAGATTCGGCATCGGAGAAAATAGATTGCAGACCAGAGACCACCAACGATGTACACATAGCACAACACACATGTAGCACACATGTAACACAACGCTGATAACCCGCACCAAAGTTTGTACGAACATGCTCGCATGAATATGCTCGTATGAATGTGCTCGCACAAATGTTTCTATTGTAGCGCACAGTGCAGTGCAGTATGGCTTGGGGTGCAAGATCGCATTGAGCCGATTAGGGCAAGAGTGCTTGCTTATTAGCCGCACTTCCGGTTGCTTAGGTGTCTCTTTGATGTCCCAAAGATTTCTTAAGGACATTGGGGCAGGCAGCATCGGAGCGGCTCCCTCATGCTTCTGGAAGCTTCCTTCACGAGATACTGTCTTGGGACAGAATGAGCATCTTACAAGCCAAAGGAAGCTGATCCAATACTCGCCATTTAAAACGATCAATTCTTTAGCAGAACAGGTAAGTAAGGGGAAGAAGTAAGGGGAAGAAGTAAGGGGATGAAGTAAGGGGAAGAAGTAAGGGCTGGTGTTAGTATTAGGCGTCCGTCGGTGAGTATTATATGTGCCGTTGTAGATAAACATTCTGGGACTGCATACTGGTACGCGGTTTGTCTATTTCGATCATCAGAAGACGTTCTTCAACGAGATTGGGTTGGATCCTGAGGACGGTCTGGCCCGGTTGACTGGGAAGGGTTTGGGTTCCACCAGCAGTCCGGGTTTTCCAGGTTTGCTGACGAGCTCATCGGGCAAGTTATCTACAGAGGAGATGACTCGGGCGGATGAAGGCGGCGAGGGCCCTGGTGGGGCAGCCTTGTCTAGTACAGGGTGTTCTTTGTTGAACCCTGCAGATAAGTTGATTAGTTTGCACCGAAAGATCCCTTTGGGTTGTATGGCGCAACTTGGAGAGACTGGAGGCGACCTGCCTGGTGCCGAAGAATTGGGTCGCGGTCTGTGTCACACGTGCCCGCTTTCGGGCGAGTCCTTCATGGTCACTAGCGCACCCGTGCGCCGGTTCGTTGACACCGAGGGCTTCAGTAGTCTCTACGACTCAACCGCGGTTATCCAATATCCCAAGCTCAATCCCGAACCGGGACTCGTCGTGTCCTCCTCCCACGGCCACGGAACGACCATTGATGCCGAAACGACCATTGATGCCGATCGACAAGTCGAGAACCAAACCACCATGCATGTGGAGGAGCGAGAACGCGAATCAGACCCGCAATCGGACCCGAATACAAACCGAACCGGACCTCAGGCCGTGGACACCGCCACGGACTCTCCTAAGAATCGAACGGGAACGTCTACGATCCGAACAGGGAGCACCTTCCCTTTGTGGACGCATTCCAAGTACAGCATCGACCAGTGCTTGTCTACATATATGTACTGGGCTCTACTCTTCAACGTGTGCCGACTACACTGCAACGGGTGGGCACTCACACCAGTTGATGGACAACCCACCGAGTTGATTTCCTCAAGTATTACGACGCGGGCTGACTCTCTCGAAGACAACGGCTTCCGGGAAGACTTATTCAAACACTCCCTCTATCGCTACATGAAGAGACGATTGAACGCCATGGTTGAGCTCGACTGGCTGTTCACACCCAGCGACAGCAACTACGACACCTACGGTCTCCTCGGCTTCGTTAACCCACTTGAAGCACTCACAAGCACGCAAAAAATGCCCTATCACGAAACGGGCATTCTGCTCTACTACAAGGAACGGCTCATCAGAAGACTCTTTGTGCCTTTCCCAGCACCTGCAAAACTACTGGACGAAGTTGCGAATAGGCCGTATCCTCCCTCCCACTTTAAAGGGAAACCAACATTCTTGTTCCCCTGCACTGGAATCATTCGTAAGCCATCATCCCCCCTCCTTGAGCCCCTCCTTGAGTCTCTCCCTGAGCCTCTGCCCCCCCCCCCCTTCCTTGGGTGTCAAACTGCTGAAGCTGGCTGTGGTTAAACTGATAGTATACTCGTCATCTGTAGATGTCCCGGAGTGGTTGTACCCCAATGCAGCCAAGGATGACTTTGTGGCACAACGGTCTCCGGTGTTTGACGAATTTGTAGTTCAAGTAAAACACTTGGTGAGACAGTACCTGTTAGTGTGTCTTGATGATGACGCGCGGACCGCGTGGATCCAGGAGCGCGGCAAAGAGTTCCTGAAGGAGGCTGGTCGGCGCAGACCTCTCAGTCCATTGCTTCATGTGGCGCTGTTGAAAAAAAGTTAAGACGTCAGCGAACCTTGACGATGTTGGCGTCGGCGTTGGCATCGTGGTGCCGTCATGTTAATGACGGCACCACGATGCCAACGCATCAAGTTGCCGCTGCATCAATTGCCGGCGCAGTAGGCTGCCGACGCCACGACTGCGTAAAGGGGGTTAGTCAATACAGAGGGTATGCGAACACGAGACACGAACACACTGCCGTGGGTGGTTTTCAGACGCTGTGGTGAAAGCTGCTGGCTGGAGGGCTGGCTGGAGGGCTGGTAAACGTTTGGTTAGTTTATTTCTACTGGGCATTGGTGAGCTTGAAGCTTTCCATGTGGGGGAAGAGGGTCTCTATCTGCGTTTTGGTTACGTCGGTTCCGTCTAGGTAGGCTCGGTTGCCTTTTTGGCAGACGAGTTCTCGTTTGGGGAACTGGGCTGTGAGAGTGATTTCCTGCATGGAGCCGAGCGCGACGACTTGGGACGACCAGATTTTTTCGTCTCGAAAGAGCCAGCGGAAGAGGTCCATAACGTCGGCTTCCGGGGGGAACCGTCGAGTGGACGTGGCCCCGAAAGCGTCCTGTACCTTTACCATGGTCCCGCCACTGGTGGGTTCGGGTGGTGGTGGTTGGACAGAGGCCTTGAACTCGCGCACGCTTTCTCGAAGCACACTGAGAATCTCGGGGTCTTCGTCTCCAAGACCGGCGCCTAGACCGGACTGTGTGGTCGCGGCACCTCCGAGGGTGTTGCCTCCACCGGAGGGCCACTGGTGCTGTTGCGTAGTTGCCGCCCCTGAGCTGGTAACTGCGGCGCCTCTTCCTCCGCCCATACCTGCTCCGCCGCCAATACCTGCTCCGCCGCCCATACCTGCTCCGCCGCCCATAGCTTGGTTAAGGTTACTGGCAGCGTTGAAAGACAAGAAGGCTCCGGAAGCGGGGTATTGGGTAGCATTGTTGATGCTGCTGATCTTGGGCACGTGTGGGCAGCGGCTGGGCTCCGGTTCGGGTAGACGCGTTTTGCGATCTTTATGGCGCACGACGAAGACAGTCCAATCGCGACTCTCAAGCGAAGTGACGAAACCATTTATCATGGTTTCGCTAATTGGTTCAGGACCACGGAGGGAGTCGAGAGAGAACCACCGACCCTTAACGGGACGGATAGCGAACCAGTGTTCGCGCAAGTTGAGGATGAAACCATCCGATTCAGCCGCGGCATCACGATGCAACCGAGAAAACTCGGGTGTGCGGAAGTGCCGCATCTCCCAATCGTGCAATAATAACACACCCTGCAACACATCTAGACTGTAAAACCCGTCACCACTCGCATGCTGATAGTCGTCACTAACACCACCCAAACCTCGCTCCATTGCATCCATGCTTGCTCCCACGGCGTTCATCTCCTCCTTCGTTATTGCCGGCGACTGCAAAAGGTTGTTCAGACAATGCAGACCACAGTAACGGCCCGACGCAGCCTGCTTCTCAAAGTACACCCAATCATCTTCGCCTCCTGTATACAAACCACGGACCATTTTACCAACAAAAACCGAAGAGGACGAAAGACGAGGGGGATAGACGAGGGGGATAGACCAGGGGGAAAGACCACGAGAAAGACCGAGGAGAGGCATTTAACCCGGCTGAAGGAAACCACATCTGCAGATCCCAATGATTTTAGGGAACAAAAACTGGCTAAAAACGACCAGGCTGGGCCCAGCTTGGACATGACTGATAGCTCGCCGGCTATGCTCATACAGTTAGTACAAGATCTTGATGCGTTGTCTCTTGGGGACGGCGTGTAAAGGCTTCCAGTTGGCCCGGTTCGTGGGCACTTCGCCGTATATGTAGACGAGGACGTGATGCCCTTTAACGTCGGTTGTACTGACCTTCATGTCCGGCGTCAGGAACCAGATGTGTCCATCGTACTCATTGGTCTCTTGAAGGCCGGAGTTACGTTCCTGGAGAGGTGAGTTCTGAGTTGAAGAACTCGGAACGGGAGTTGCGTAAAGTTGGACGGAATGGACTGACTCTGGGTCCATCAAGTCGATCGTCTTGGTGAACTGAGTGGGGCATAAAAATTCATACCGGTGCCTCGTTCCGCAATGTTCCGCAATGCTTCTTGCCATAGTCGACAGCGTGCCGGCTAGACTCCAGTCATGTACCTCGGCACTCTGTCGCGAGGGGTCTAGGAGTACCGGCTTTTGCGAATCGGATTCGAGTAATCGCCTCGAGATTGAGTGCTCGTTGGCTCTGAAGGCCACTCGGCATTTGGGGCACCTTTCCTGCACCTGTAGTTCGGTGCTAAGACAGCCCTTGTGCAGCCAAGTCCGGCAGCACACCATGTAGACCTCTCCTTGTGGACAGCCACACATGAAGCAAGAGCTCTGCGTCACGTCCGGCAGACGCTGAGGCTGCTTGAAGTAGTCGCAAATAGTCTGTTCCCAGTCGCCCCCGGCGTGTATCGTCTTAAGAGCCTCGAGTCTCCTCAGGTCATTAGTATCCGGAGTGACAGTGACCACCCACACAGCAGCCTGTCGGTTTCGATTAGTTCGGGGCGTTACAGTCCCCTTTGGCGTGCCTTTGAGCGAGACTTGGTTCTCCTTAGAATCTTGTAGGACGTCTTCTAGTTGGATTTTAGCGGGTCTGGATACCTTTATGCTGTCTCGTTCGATCCAGTCATGGAGGTAGTGGAGCAACGCGTAGGTCGCAGGGTGTCGCTCAGGTCCGATATCGCCCTTATAGCCCGACTCAACGTACTTCCAGAATATAGGTGTTTGTATCCAATTTTGAGTGTGTCTTTGGAACAACTGCGCTTGTCGATGGATGTCCATCCAGGAGGTGGAGAACTCAGACTTGTGGTTGACGTAATTCACTGTGACCCAGTCCGCGCATTTGAGTCGAAGAAGGTTCTTGATTGTGCAAGAGTGCGGCAGTGGAATTGTACTCGAATTTTCCAAAATCACGGCGCGCCATTTACGCTCACATAGCTTGTCTCCCTGCGCATTTAATGAGGCGTAGCTAACCACCCAAATGTCCGCCATCTCATTTGTTTCCTCGTCCACACCCGAGTAGAAACAAATTCGTTTGCAGTGCTCCTTCTCGCTGCATAGATTTTTACACACACAACTGTTCTGCCAGCCTTGCACCCCACTGTACGTCGTCACTATCAATAACGGATTCGTTACGATCACCACACTCATGGACCCATCCTCGTTCTTCGTTGCCGTCAACCTCTTCAACTCCCCTCCACCCCAAATCTTATTCAGATGCGACTCTTCACTGCAGTAGAACTTAGACAAATCACCACAACTTATATCTAGCGACGCCGGCCGTAACCCCAATCCCGAATACACTAACTTCTCGTTCTCACGGTCGTCGATCAACGACGTCATCGGCTTCGCTCCACCCTCCATTCAAAAAGAAATTTTGTCCCAAAAAATGACCACACTTAGGTAACGCTGACAAGACAACGGTCTACCAGCCTATCCACACTTCCCACCACCGCAGCCACCAGCAGCCATGAAACTTTCGCCGCTGCGACGAGTGATCGTCATTGAGTGGAACGACTCTGCGTCAGTCGGGTGGATACCCACGACTGCGTCCAAATCGTCCTTGGTCAACCCACACTTCAGCGCCAACGCGTAACCCTGCGTTGTCTCTCCAGCCTAAACATGCATTTTTCGACCAGACCAAACCAGCCAATCCGATCGGGCCAATCTTCCCCAGTTGCCGCTCCAGTCCACCCGTGGCGTGATACCCAGCTGTGCTCTAGAGGTGTGACCGCTTACGTTCATGGCGATGCAGTGATAGCCAACGATTTTGTTGTCAGGTTTCTTGCAGATGATTTTGCTGAGATTAAGGGGGGTGACATCCAGGTCAAATTCGTCTTTGCGGGTTGAGAGTGCCTTTTTCCAGTGACAAGCGGAAACGGGCACAGAGTTGAAGCCGAAGAGGAACACCTCGATATTGTCTTGACCGTATCTCGTGATGGCATCTTCTTCAGAAAGTCCGCAGCAGCCATATTCTATTGGGGTGAAGACAACCGTGGGTATATTTGTGTAAACCATGGGTTCGTTGGCGCCTCCAAAGAGGCGCCTGGCGAGCAATTCGCCGGCCTTGATGGCAACGGGAGTTAGTTCCGGGCGGCCGTGACAGACGTCTCCAATGGCGTAGACACCGGGTGCGGAAGTTTGCTCTAGCTCGTCGACCACAATCTTGCCAGATGCGGGGTGCATGGCGATGCCGGCGGCCTCGCAGCCGAGACTTTGGGTGCATGCGCGGCGCCCGACGGCGTAGACCACTGTGTCGAACATTTCTTCGCGTCCGGATGCGAACCGGACGAGGATCTTGTCGCCACCGTCGGCGGTCGTATTGGACGTCGTATCCGCCCCACGGTCTCCGGCTAGGTCGCTAGCGGCCACATCCGGCTCGCCCACGCGTTGTAGCGACACTACTTGTTCGTGTTCCAGGAACTTGGTGCCTTGTTCCTTCATCACCAACTGGATGTGTTCCGCACACTGTCGGTCGAAACCGCGAAGCACTATGGAGCGTACACACACGGTTACATCATAACGCAGGTGTGTCAGGAACCCCGCGCACTCTAGTGCAATGTACGACGCACCCACCACCAAAGTCTTCTTCGGCTCGCGCGATAAACTAAACAAGTCATCACTCGTCACGGCCAACTCAACCGCACCGGGAACGTCCCGTGGAATGTACGGCCGTCCACCCACGGCTACCAAAACACACTTCGCCCGCACCTCCTTCCGCTCGCCCTTGAGTGTATACTCCACCACTCGACCAGACTTGGCGCCCGACTGGGCTCTCTCGGGGGCGGCGAGGAGTGTAGCTTTAGCGTTAATATACTCTACACCGGCGCTGCGAAGGCCACGTCGGTATGAGAAGTTAAGTTGCTTGATGTAAAGTTGAACCGTCTTTACCAGGTCCTGCCAGACGAATGTCAGACCGTCAGTACCACTCCAGCCAAGTGGGGCCGCTGAATGGTCCATCAATTGTCCCAACTTGGCCGAGTTGTGCATGATGATCTTCGGAATGCAACCAACGTTCACACACGTCCCGCCCAGACCCCACTTGGAACCCTGCGGTGACGGCTCCACATAGTCAAAACACACGACCTTGGCACCCAGCCTCGCCGCCTCCTTCGCTGCCGCCAAGCCGCCACTCCCGCCGCCAATCACCACCAAATCCGCCTCCATTTTTTGCACCGAAAATACTCACACGCGCGCGCGCACGCACGCACGCACGCTTCGTCATGTCTGGAACAATACGCCCGCTTGGTCACACACACTCAGGGCTCGGGGCACACTGCGGTGGGGCGCTCGCTGCACCGGCTCAGGCTAGCTAAGCTAGGTACGTTAGGATGGGTCAGCGTAAGAGACTTGATGTTCGACTCCGAGGAAGTCGTGGCCGCGGATGATCTTGAAGTAGCCCTGTTTGCCCCATGTAGCACCCCAGCTATTGCGTGCGACCCAGTAGGGAACGTTTTCGTCATCATCTACGCCGAACCCAACCAGCACGACCGCGTGACTGGTGCGCTCCCACCAGGTCGCGAGTGTCCGGGGGACACACTCTTCCGCGCTCGTAGGGGCCCCGAAGACCCCTACGCCGGCGTACCTCGTCAACTCAAACGGCGTGTCGATGGCTGCCACGACCGGCCCGTGCTCAAATAATTCGCGTCGAATCTCGCTTTCGGACGCACATCCGAAACAACCACCAACGTAGCCGTGACCTGTCACCATCACGGGCCCGTAACTAACAGGCATGGACCCGTAGTCAGTCGATAACTCGTAGACCAACGGCAATCCGTTGGGTAATGTTTGCACCTGGCGATGCGCGATTGCACACTTTTTCGGCCCGGACTGTTTCTCTTCGGGTTTCAGCTGGAACGACTTTGATTGGGAATCGAGCGGGGACTGGGGCTGGTACTGAGACGCACCGTATTGGGGTGACCGGAAACCCACTTCCGCCAGCCACTTGTGGGCGAGGTAAGGATAGCCTCCGTCGCACTCCTGGTTGAACATGGAGCACGCGGTTACCTGTTCCGTTATGAACGGGACCAAGTTGGCGGGGGGGGGCGATGAGTCGCTGGTTCCGGTAAGGGCATCACTCACACGGGCAGTGCTGGCGATGGCCTCATCAGGCGTGCCGGTTAGTGTCCCAATACTGAATTGCTTGCGCTTGAATAGAGCGTACGCCGATGCAATTGCGTAGCAATTGCCGCACTTCCCTTGGTCCGGCACTTCGTAATCCGCCTCAGTCATCAAATCGGGTCGTAGGAATGGATCTCCGACAGAAAAGCTCTCAGGCAAATCAGGGACGGTCGCGACCTTGCTGCGACATGAGCGCGGTGGTTTGCTTTCCATTTGGTTGTCAGAATGCTGTACCAAACCCGTGGTCTCCGATAACAGTAGAAAGGAGGCCTCTGTTGCGTATTCTTTGCTCTCACTCCCTGGTTCAGAGCCGGATGGTCCAAAATCTGATGCAGAACGGGTGCCGATGAAACATCCACGTCGATGAGACTTCTTCTGAGCGTCACGCGGGGCAGACATGCGGTACCAGCCGATGAATGTCCTTGTGGCGTCAGTAACAAAGCAACTATGTCCGGGCCCGTACCTCTTGCGTCCCCTGCAGGAGGTCGGTACGTAGGAAATTAGACCGAGAAAGCTCTCTCCGGTTGAATCGAATTTGACTTCAAATCCTTCGTCGGCAACCATGGTCCAGAATCCCCTCTCAGTCTGGTTCGACGATACACGTTTCGTGGCCTGTAGACCTTGCCAAAATCGTCTCTGACTCTCCGCGAAGGGCTGACGCTCCGACGTAAGCGAAACAATCGCAGTGACGTTCCGGTCGAAAGACTCGAACAAGTTCTCCCAGTCTCTCTAAAGTACGAACGATTACGAAAGTTGAGCACCTGACATACTAAATTGAGGGTGGTCAGTTCCAGGTTCAAGTCCACCTTGTTAGGCAGGGTGGAACCGCAAGTGTAAAGCAGATTAGACGCCTGCTGACCCTCTACATCGTCATAAAAGATCTTAAACCGCCAATCGCCAAGAATGTCGCCGTAGTCTACGTGCACCGGAAGGTCCGCAATGACCGAAGCTCCCAACAGTACAAAGATTAGGCGGGCACCGGGCCGCATTCAAGCTTGCACACGCGTGTGCGGAACCGCGTAGCACCTTTAGACAGACATGTTTGAGTGGATGTGTTTGAGCAGACATGTTTGAGTGGATGTGTTTGAGTGCACATCCGTTAGTGGGCTACGAATACCAAATCAGAACAGACCCTTTAGTGTGCAGTGGTGGCAGTGTCAGGGCAGGCGCGTCAAGAGCTGTCGATAAAAGTGTAGTCAAAACTCTGTTTGTATCAAAAAAGCGTTTAAAGCTTGTCCAAGAAGTTGGTGGAGTCAGGGATGCCCTCGCTGAGGCCCTTTCTCTTACGGATGGCGAGGACGACCTGGTTGTGACCGCTGTCCTTTTCGAAGGGTGAGCCAGAGAGGATGGCCCAGTGATCAAAGACGCACTGGGGGAAGGCCTTACCCTGGGTTTTCTCACGAAGCATGGAGGTGAAGCCGAAGGATTCAGCGACCGGAAGGTGAGCGCGCATGTCGTGGAGGGGCGTTCCGGCACGGACGTCATCGGCGATGACGATACCACGTCGCTTGTTGAGCACAGCGTACACGCCGGACATGTTGTCCTCGGGAACGGTGATTTGGACAAGGAAGATGGGTTCGACCAGACGAGGCTCGGAGTTGAGTTCGACACCGAGAATACCCTTACGGCAAGTACCCAGGATCTGGGAAGCTCCACGATGGATAGCGTCAGCGTGCAGAGTGCAGTCAACCAAGTTGAAACGACAACCGCGCATGTTCTCCTCACAGAGCGCACCCTCACGGGCGGCCCATTGGAAGCCGGCGTTGCAGTGATCCTTGATTTCGTTCACATACTGCAGACCCGATGTCTCGTCAACCATGACGTTAGGGCCAGTGGTATCGGGACCAAAGCACCATATCTTGAAGGCGTGGTTCTTTTCCCAACCATACTTGTCGCACAGGATGCTTGCTCGCTCCTTAACGTCATCGCGCGAAGTAACCTTGCCATCATCAATGAGCCGGACTAATTCGTTGTCCAGAGGAGTGGCAGTGATGTACAGTCTGTTGTGCTTGTTGGCTGACTTGGCCATTCCGGGTTCGGCAGGCTCCTGAGTGATGGTCTCTTTGTAGGAGACGACCGGTTCGGACACGATGATGTCAATTTGGGCGTACTCCTCCTTCAAGTCCTTCAAACAGATCTCGACGTGAAGTTCACCGCAGCCGGCAACAATGTGCTGCCCATTCTCCTCAGACGAGCATACAACCAACGGGTCAGACTTAGACAGACGTTTGAGACCCTCCACAAGCTTGGGCAGCTCCTTTTGGTCCTTGGGCGTGACGGCAACGCGTACGACCGGAGACACGGAGTACTTCATGTCCACGAAAGTGTGGGCAGACTCGCAGGTTGTCAGAGTACCCGTTTTAAGAATGAACTGGTCCACGCCGACGAGAGCGCAGGTGTTACCGCAAGGCACATCCTGCACCTGCTCGACGTTGCGGCCCATCATGATAACCGTACGTTGCACGTTCTTGATAGCCAAGTCGTCCTTGTGGCCCGGCTGATAGGCCGGACCGAGGATTCTGACCTTCTGGCCGGTGCAGACGGTACCGGAGAACACACGGCCGAAGGCGTAGAAGCGGCCCTTGTCCGAGGTTGGAACCATCTTGGAAACGTACATCATGAGTGGACCCTCGGGGTCGCAAGCCTTGATGGCCTGGGCGGCCTCGTCGTCCTGGGGACCGGAGTAAAGAGTAAGGCATCTGTACTTTTGTGCAGCCACGGGAGACGGCAGATGGGTGACAATCATCTGCAACAGAGTGTCACCAGCGGGGAGCCACTGTTGCATGATTCTCTTGAGCAACGGCTTGCCCATGAGGTCCTTGTCTTCGCCACGGAGCTCGACGCCGAGGGTGACGAGCATCTTATCCAACTTAGCCTTCTCGTTGACGTTGTCGGAGGCAAGGGCGGTCTCAAAGAGGCCGTAGATAGGCTTCAAAATGAACTGACAAAAACCACGGCAGGACTGGGGGTCGGACGGGTCCTTCTTGGTGGTCCACGTCTTTTTGTTGGGGTTGAAGAAGTTGTCGCCCCAGAGACGCTGCATCATCTTCTCGACGGGTACGCCAAACTTGGATGCATACAACTTGGCGAAGCGCTCGATGGTAAAGGCCCAGCCATGGAGACCGGAACCGAAGGAGATGGTACCCTTCTCGGCGGCGACCTGGGCGTCAAAGCCGGAGGTTTCATCCTGGTAGGTGGCAATGATGACGTTGACGTTCTCGATGTTGTTTCTGAAGGTCTCATACATGGCCTCAGGGTCCTGCTTCAGTTCCAGCAGACACCTGTCAACCTTGTTCATGTGCAGCACTGGCTTCACTCGCTCAGAGAGGGCCTGACGCAACACAGTTTCAGTCTGGACACACACGCCTTCCACGGCGTCCACGACGACTAGGGCGCCGTCTGTCACACGCAGGGCGGCAGTGACTTCAGAACTGAAATCGACGTGGCCCGGGGAGTCAATAAGATTGATAAGGAATGGCTCTGCAGGTTTGTCGGTAGCGGTTTGGTGCTCGAAATAGAGGGAGATACCAGTAGACTTGATGGTGATGCATCGGTCCTGCTCGTCTTGCCGAGTATCCGTGAAGCGGGCGTCACCAGCGGCCTTGGCAGAGATAATACCTGCCTTGGACACCAGGGAATCGGTAAGGGTGGACTTGCCGTGGTCGACGTGGGCAATAACAGACATGTTACGGATGTTGTTGGGCCGGCCCATAATGACCCTCAACTCTTCCACTGTAAAGTTCACCATCTCGCCGGTCCTGCTCGCTGAAAATTTCTTCAGAAACACCCCCAAAAAAAGGAGACGTAACGCCTCCTCCGCTTTTTCCACGACCTCCCCCCAAGACACGATGCGATCCTATCGCGCACGAGTACAGATTCCCGCCGGCTGGGAATTACTTACCGCCGGCGTTAACTCGACAGGAAAGCCTATACTGAACCTACCAAAGCAAGAACAAGTACCCAGCAAGCCTTCGCCGGATACACCCAAAGTCCTACTAAAATACCCCATCGACCTCGCCGCACTCACCAAAACATTTTCCCATCAAGAACGTGAACTCCACCAACCCTACCTACCGTACCGAACCTACAAACCTGGGAGCTCCGCCACCAGCTCACCCGCATCCACCCTGAGCTCCACCCCAGCTCGGGAGGCTCCGACCGAGACCCCGACCGAGACCCCGACCGAGACCCCGACTAAGACCCCGACTGGGACCCCGACTGAGACCCCGACTGGGACCCCGACTGAGACCCCGACTGGGACCCCGACCGGGACCCTCGCCGGGAACCCGACCGGGGCCTCATCGAACCTCCTACAGATACCCAAGCCCGCTCCACCCAGAGACTCGGGACTCTGCAGCCTCAGCCTGTCGGCCAAGCGGGCCCTCGTTCTGGAGGCCTTCCAGAAAAAACTATCCCGAGATGAGCCCTCGGACCCGGTGCGCAAGTCGCAACCACGATCCGCCGCGACCACCAAAGTCTCGGACTGGGCACGGCCTCGCGCCGCACTACAGGAAGGACGGCTGCGGACTGCACCCCTCGTGATACCCGGCGAGATTCCGCTACCCCCGCCCTTGCCTCTCTTCCAAGATGATGTCCCACAGCTGGAGGCGCCGGCCACGGACAACCCAGCGACACCACAATACGAGACAGCCGTAACCATCGCGGACACAGGAGGAACACCGTCGGCTCCGCTCATGACCCTGGAACTCGCGGCCGAGCCGCTGGCACTAGCGGTCCAGGAGGCCGAGCCGCAGGAGTCCGTGGTACAAGAGGCTGTATCGGAGGGGGCCGTGCCACAGCAAGTGGCGTCAGAGAACACCACGTTACAGGAGGCCGTGGCACCCGAGGTTGTACTAGAGAAGGCCGTGCAGCTGGAGGCTGAGTCACGGGTACCAGAGACGGCCGTGCCACAGAAGGCTGTGTCAGAGACGACCACGCCGCAAGGGGCCGTGGCACAACCGACTGTGTCGGAGGGGGCCGTGCCACAGCAGGTGGTGTCAGAGAAAACCATGCTACAGGAGGCCGTGGCACCCGAGGCTGTACCAGAGAAGGCCGTGCAGCTGGAGGCTGAGTCACGGGTACCAGAGACGGCCGTGCCACAGACGGTGATGACGGAAACGGTTACCCCACAGGAGACCGTGCCCCAGGAGAATGTGCAGAAGAAGACTGGGTTGCCGAAGACTGGGTTACCGACGACTGGGTCGCCAGAGGCCGGGTCGCCGGAGACCGCGAGGCACAGCAAGGCATGGGGAGCGCCAGTGCAGGTTCCTGCGGAAGGGAAAGACATGTCACCAACAGGGAAGGAAGTGTCGCCGGCGGCGACGGACCAGAGCTCCGCAGCCGTTGTGGTCGAGGGGGCGCGGGCGAAGCCGGATTCATCGAAGACCGGTTCGCCGAAAGCCGGTTCGACGGAAGCCGAGCTGGCGAAAGCCAAGCTGGCAAAAGCCGGTTCACCGAAGACTGAGTCGTTGAAGGCCAAGTCGTCGAAGGCAAAGCTGGCGAAGGCTGGTTGGTCGAAGGGCACCGGCCCGTCGAAGGTCAAGTTGTCGAAGGCTGGTTCGTCTAAGGCGATTGGTTCGAGGACGATGCAGCTGATGAGTGCTGACTCAGTTTCAACACTATGTTCGATAACGTCGGTAGATGAGCCAGTGGAGGAATTATGGGTGCGCCCGATGCGTCAGTCGTTGAAAATGGTAGACGTAAGTCGTGCTACTGCGGAGTTAGAGGCTGTGTGGGACACGGCTCAGGCCCGGTTGGAGGAGTGGGAGCTGGAGAGTGAGGTGGAGATGAGAAGAGAGGCGGAATTGGCAGCGGAGTTGCGGAGTGTGCGAGAGGAGTTTACGAAGAGGAGATCGTGGCCGGTAGCGCCAGAGACGGATTGGTCGTATGTGGGGCTGGTTTTGGATCAGTTGCGGTCCTTTGGCATGTCCCAGCAGTTCTTGATTGGTGCGGCTAAGACGTATGAGGATTGTCAGCATCGACAGCCGGTAATGGTGCCGTCATCACGACCGGGAAAGCGACATGTGGTTCGGACTAGGAGCGATGCCCAACTGCGGGGCGGCGCGTATCTGGCGCCCACCTTTTGCGCCTGGTTTTGGGACTGTTTGAAAGCTAACGCCGCCATTGACGAATTCGTCTTGTTTGCGCACAGGTATCGCCTCGGACGGCTGGCCCAGAAGATGGACTATGGCATTGTTGACGTGCTCCAGAGCAGCATCCGGAACTACTTCCATCGAGACCCTGTCTTCGTGACACTGGCGCGCCATGTGTTCCGCGAACACATGGAGGCGCGAGTCTTCACGCAGGGCGACCCGAACGCGCCGTGCCGCCATCGACTTCGTGCCAGCGCACGTGAAAAGCCCCAGACCGAGGAACAGGCCGAGAAGATTGCTCGGCTGCAGGACGTCAAGCGTTCTAACGAACAACCTGCCTCCGGGTTACTTCCGTTTTACGTCGCACACACGATCGGCGTCAAATTCCCCATTGTCTACCGTGACAGCAAGGACATGCAGGGGGCCCTCGAGACCGCGCTGCACGGCGTAAGAGGCTCCCTCAAGCAACTCCTCCTTGATAACTGCAAGCTAGTCGAAAAGACCGGTCCCAAGAAGGACGCGTGCGTGCAGTGCGAAGGGCCCTTCGCACTCGCCTGCAACTCCAAGAACGTCAAGACAGCCCACGCCGAAGCCATAGCCTACTTCGACAAAGTCGTGAAACTCCTGCTACCAACATCGCACTGTCACGGACTGTTCAGGTACGGCAGCGCAAAAACAAAACGGTTCGACGACCTCACCTCCATCTTCACCGACAGCCGAAACCACCTACACTTGGTCTTCCGTTCGCCCGAGAGGGTACCCCAGAACACTGCTTTAGCAGCCACGGAATCCAGTAGTACAGCGTAACTGGACGGTCAAGTCGGCAACGTGTGACGTGTCCCGGGTCGTTTCCGATATTTTTCTCCGGGATTAGTATTGAGAGCTATCTCCTTAAGACGGGGCTGCTCACGGAGTTAGCGGCTGGGCGTGGGGGTCAGTGGGGAGAAGTCCGGGTGCAGGCCTGCTCTACCAAACCGGAGGTGGAGTAGGTGCCCGGCGGGCGGAGGCGCCACCACCCACTCGAGGTCGAGGATCTCGGGACAAGCCGTTTCGTGAAGTAGCCTGACCACTGACGGACGTCCAAAGCGCGCAGCAAACAAGTCAACCCCCATTTGCCGAAAGGCGTCTGCGACCTGAGGAGGAAATTGGTGTGCGCGCCATTGGTGTGTGTGCCAAACTGGTGTGTGTGCGCGAACGTGGCACTGACCCCAGTGGAGAGGTAAGTGGTGTGGTGTGCGGCAGGTGCTTACGAGGTTGAGAGGGACGCCGGGCCATTTCTGGGCGAGATCTGGGAGGAGTGATTCGTCGTCGCTGGCGGCGAGATGGCGGACGGTGCGTAAAAAATGTCGGACTAAAATGCCGTGGATGCCTTGCACCAGGAGTTCTTGTGGGGAGGCCTGTGATTGGGGGTTGAGTGCCTTGCCGAAGAGTTCTGCGAATTCGACAGGTGCGGCGGCACTAGCGGCGCTTGCGGGAGCAACGGCTGCGACCACGGCGGGGGCGGCGGCGAGGAGAGGTGGGCCGACTTTCTGTGAGACGTGTTGATGGAAGCCGGCGACGGGGATGCCTTTGGGTAGCACGGGGCGGACGTAGTAGACGGCGCTGGGCTGGAGTTCCTGAGGCGAGAGCGGAATGACGCCGGTGCCGGTGTGTTCGAGACGCACAACCTTGGGGATGACCAGGAGGCTCTGAACGACGCTGCCCTTCCCGAGTTCAGCAAATTTGGCCTCCAACGGGAAACCAAAGAAATGTTCATAAGTTGTTTCGAAGTTAGCCGTGGTCACATTTGGCACCGCGTGCACGAAGTAGTGAATCGTGTAGAAACAGTCCAACGGCTTCACTGGCGGAGCCGACGGCTTCGGCGGCAACACATCCGGCCATTGCGTACGCACTGCCACCGTTACCGGGCGCGTTACCGCCGCCTTATTCGGAACGCAACTCTTTACTATCTCTTCCAATACCGCACGCACCTTTTCCAACTGATCCGGCGTATCGTACTTCACCCACAAATGCATCGGCTCCTCCGCTCCCGGCGTCCCCGGCGATGAGATCCCCTTGCCCCTTAACTGAACGCAACAACCCGACTCATCTTGTAACCGCGCGTGGTTCGTTCCACGCACTCCGATTATGATGGCCGCCGGCTTCACATTCGGCGGAAAACGGGACTCGTCAATGGGAATCCTCTCTATATACTTCCAAGGTCTCTACAACAAACTCCATTTCCAATCCAGTGTGCTCCAAGCAGGGACGACTACGGGGATTTACAGCCTGAGCTGGTACCAGCGGCGGTGGGAGCAGCGGGCTGAGCGGGTAGCAACAGCGGCGCCGGGGAGGGCGCTTACGTCTTCGCGGCTCCGGGGGTTGTTCCCAATGCCACCACGGGACTTGGCGGGCGGATGCATTCCAAATTTTAAAAATGGCTGGCTGCACAGATATTACTTGTACCTACGCACCCTCTACTATTGACCACCGCGTCGGCCCGCCGAACGTTGGCGAACTAGGCAGAGCTACCTGGCAAATTCTTTTCAGCTCCGTCGATTTATTAGAAAATCACCGTCTCAACAAACTGGATTACGCCCAATGGCTGAAAGGCATGCTTGCCGCCTACCCCTGCCGGTTTTGCCGTCTGCACTTGAAGCCGGAAGAAATACTCAACAATCAAACACCCGAATATTACAGGCGCTACCTGGAAACCGTCCATGAACAGTCCAAATCCCCCCAAAACCGCGCCCCAAGTCGGTAAACGCGCGGCGCACACACGTGTGCTACTACATTATTGGACATGAATTAGTGGAGGTATGAAACCTGGGAGTCAAGAGAAGAGGGTCATCGACCTCACTAATCCCGGTCTCGCTGATAATGCGGTTAAAAGCGTCCAGTCTCTCTCGGCGGAAGGACGGCAGGCGCTCGATCAGTTCAATAACATTGAAGGGGATATATCGGACCAGGTGGACCTTTCGGATGAGGTTATTGAGGGATTCGCCGACAAGTTCGGACACGCTGCGCTTTACCTCCAGGTAGAGCAGCTACGGCGGTCTTCGGATCCTACCGAGGACACGTTGCTGGGTCCCTTGAGGGTAAGTGCCGCGGGGGATTCCTACTGATTTTCGTTGTCCTCAGGTCCTCGAACGTTTTCAAGCGGTTACTGGTGCACCTGCTATCACCCATGAGGAAGTAGAGAAATTGCGTGAGCAACTCCGGCGTTCTGCTTTGTCGGCATTCACTCAAAGCCGGTATGCTGATGTTTTATTACACGCTTCGGAATGTTATAAGCTTACGAAGAATTATTTGTCGAAGATTGGAGGCACAGCACTCCACGGAGATTTGGTAGGCTTTTGTGTGATCAACATTAATAATATGATTAGGCGTTTGAGCTGTTTCTGCTAGCCCGTAGCTGTGCCATGACGGGTTATTTGGAAAAGGGAGAGAAATATAAGAAGGAGCTAGATTATCTGATACAGAATACGATACGTTATATTGCAGCGGAGACGTTGAAATCGGAAAATGACGGTCCTGATCGTATCAAGGATGCCTGGCTAAAACTAGGCAGTCACGACGAGTCGTCAGTGGGTCCAATGCTGAAAACGGAGCCGTCCGTTTTCTTGGCCATGCTCCGAGAGGTCGCTGATTTGTCTGTGGTGTATGGAGAGTACGAGACGGCGGACATGTACTATGAACGGTAACAGAAAGGAAAGGGGTCTTATGTTTGTAGTCTTGTAGTTTTTCATGAATACCTTTACGGCCCCGTGAACCCTATCACGGCGGATGCCGCCAACGACGCCGCTCGGCATTTTTTTGAATGCCGAGACTTCCATAAGGCGGCCAAGTATTCTGAGAAATGTTTGAAAATCAGGATTCAAGTGTTTGGAGACGTGGATGCCCCTAATCCTAATCATCTAGTGGCTGATGCATATAGCAATATCGGTATCATTTATCGCTTGCTAGGTTATCCGCAGGATTCCTTGAGTGCTCTTTTATCCGCTTTGGATCTTCGAATGAGGCTGAACGAAGGAGATCGCGGTGCACTGGAATGTCAAAAGACAATGCTCTCTATCGCGATCCTGTGTCATCAGTATGGACAGTATCGTCGTGCGCTCGAGCTGTACAAGGAGGTTTTTGAGCAGATCCGGAAGTTCAAGGGGTATCACAGCTCCGAAGTCACTAAGATAATTCAGCTGATGGATGCGGTAAGACGACCAACCACAAGACCATCACTTTTTGCAGCTTTCCCGGGACATAGCGGCCGCCACCAACGGAGGTCCCCTTTCATCCGGCACAAATATCGAGGGAGCACTCACGTTGTCAGTGGCAGACCCCCGCATTGATCCCCGAACTGGTCTGAAGCCTTTGCTGTGGAACGAGAGCATAGTCCCGTCCCTGAATGCCTACCGGGCGTACATGGATGTGAGGGCGGCGGGCCCGTCAAAATCGTTCGGTTTGGCGCCTACGCCGGGCATCAGCAAAATGCGAGCATTGTTTGCGGACGATCTTAGAGGCATTGATGTCCCGTCGACGGCTCTGCTGCCATTTGTTCGGAACAGCTTCGTCTCGCCGGAGATGCTGCAATTCATGAACTATCTTCGCAGCTTTGGCTTCTTGTGCAGCGACGATCCGTTTGTGCAGGGGCGACGTAAGTGCCCGGTAATCAACCTACCCAAGACGATTGGAGGCTACCCCGTCTTCCAGTCCAATACGCAGTCGAAGGTGGTTATGGAGGTCAACCCCGCTGTACCGGCGTATTGCCTCGAGTATCGCTTGCCTGAACCTTCGGTCTCGGAGGATGGCATCGTCTTTGTCACGAGCCTAGGACAGTGGCACCAGAAGGTCTTCTTGCCTGTGCTGGATCCGCGCGAGAACCGCTACCTGGTGGGACTGAACGGGGTGCCGCTGATGGTGGTTCTCCCTCTGGAGTTTCCGGACGAGCCGGAGGTCGACCAGGAGAACGCGCCGGTTGTTCCCAAGAAGGCGACCGACAGTGGCGACGTCGTCGTAAAGGTATCGGCCCCGAAAGCAGACGAAGCGGCTGCGAAAAAGACTCTGCCCAAAGGCGGGGCTGCCAAGATCGAGGAAAAAACGGCGGATGTCGCAGCGAAAAAGGTCCTGCCCAAAACCGGCGCCGCCCCCTCCACCGACAAGAAGGAAGAGGCGGCCAAGCCCGCAGGACCAGCCAAGCCGGCAGGACCCGCCAAGCCTGCAGGACCCGCCAAGCCTGCAGGATCTGCCAAGCCCGTGGAACTCAAGTTACCGGCCAAAAAGGCTGATACCGGCATCAAATCGCTTCCTAAGCCTGCCCCTGCCACCAAAGCCGTGCTACCTAAGCCCACCGCCGCCGCCAAGCCTGCTGAGGCCAAGGCGACTGCGAAAGCCGGCTTGCCTAAACCGGCTGCGGCCAAAACCGCGGACGTTGGAGCGAAGCCCACGAAGGACGCAAAGCCGAAGGAGACCAAAGCCATGATGAAACCTGCGTCGAAGGTGAAGGGCACACCGGCGAAAACTCCGGAGAAGCAGCCCGCCGAGGGCAAGACGGTCCCCAAGGCAAAGGGGACGCCGAGTCCCGTTGGGGCCAAAACGCCCGCCGCCGCGGACGCGGTGTCAAAGACCAAGACGCCCCTTCCGAAGGTGAAGGGAGCACTGCCCGAGACCAAAGTAAAGACCGAGGCCAAGGTCATGACCCTGGCTAAGGGCAAGACTGATTCCAAGACCGAAGGTAAGGTCAAGACTGAATCCAAGGTCAAAACTGAATCCAAGGTCAATATTGGATCCAAGGTCAAGGCCGACTCCAAGGTCAAGGCCGACTCCAAGGTCAAGGCCGACTCCAAGGTCAAGGCCGACTCCAAAGTCAAGGCCGACTCCAAGGTCAAGGCCGACTCCAAGGTCAAGGCCGACTCCAAGGTCAAGGCGGACTCCAAGGTCAAGACAGACTCCAAGGTCAAGACAGACTCCAAGGTTAAATTGGCTGTGGAAAAGACGCCCTCGGCCAAAGCGGAATCTCCGGAGTCTAAGGCCAAAGGGGCCAAAAGCCCCGGAAAGAAGGGAAAGGACTCGCCAAAGGGTGACAAGGCCGCGGTTGGAGTCTCAAAGACTGGCAAATCTGCGAAGGCCGCAAAAGGCACCGCTAAGGGCAAGGTCACTAGCACGGTCAAGACTATCAAGGGGGCGACACCGAAACAAGGGAAGGCTGGCAAAGCTGCTAAAGGGTCTTCCAAGGTTGCGAAGGGCTCACCGAAGGCGGCCAAGGCTGTCAAGGGTGCCAAGCGCTCACCCAAGGCTGCCAAAGGCACGCCGAAGAGTGCCAAAGGTTCGCCCAAGACTGCCAAGGGCTCGCCGAAAGCTGCCGAGGGCTCCTCGAAGGCCGCCAAGGGCTCACCCAAGGCTGCCAAGGGTTCACCGAAAGCAGCCAAAGGCACGCCGAAGGGGGCGAAGGGTACGCCGAAGGCTTCTAAAGGCTCGCCGAAGTCGTCTAAAGGTTCACCGGAAGCTACCAAGGTAGCCGTCAAAGGTTCTCCAAAGGCTGCCAAAGCCGCTAAAGGGTCTCCAAAGAGTGCTAAAGGTTCCCTGAAGACTACCAAGGATACGCCTAAGTCGGGGAAGAAATCCAAGGGCGGCAAAGCCGGAAAGGAGTCGACTAAAGCTTCCAAGTCACCGAAGACGGCGAAAGCTGGAAAGGCTACCAAAGGATCTCCGAAAGGATCTAAGGAGACAGCGGAGCCGGTGAAGAAGTCGCCGAAGGCTGCGAAGGCGGGAAAGGGCTCTCCTGGTAAGGCTGCGAAAGCAGCTGGAAAAAGCCCCAAAGCTTCCAAGACATCACCGGCCAAGGCACCCGCGGCGGCAGCCGCCCAGGAGGAGCCAGGTAAAACGAAGTATGGAGGTGAGAAGCAAGTCACCATCAAGGCAGGCAAGGCTGCTGGGAAGGGTGCGAAGGGCCCGAAGACGAAGAAAGACACCGCGGCCAAGACCGCAAAGGTGAAGAAGATGAAGGTGCCGAACGTCAAGGCGGCCCTGCTACTGACATCCGAGGATGACATGGATTCGGAGGAATCATTTAGGACTCCTCGGATCGCTAATGTGGTCTGTTACCATACTATGCCGCCTCTTCTAAGCCCCTCTTCATCTCCAAAGGCTGGCAAGTCCCCAAAGCCTGGCAAGTCTCCCAAGGCTGGCAAGGTGCCAAAGGGGGCGAAGACTCCCAAAGGTGGCTCACCAAAGGGCTCGAAAGCGTCCCCGGGGAAGTCTAAGGGTTCCATCCCACCAGGAGTGGGTGGCAAAAGTCCAAAGGGATCGAAAGCATCCCCGGGAAAGGCGAAGGGATCCATGCCACCAGGAGGGGGTGGCAAGGGTCCAAAGGGACCGAAAGAGTCCCCAGGGAAAGCTAAGGGATCCAAGCCACCAGGACTGGGTGGCAAGAGCCCAAAGGATACGAAAGGGTCCCCGGGGAAGTCTAAGGGAACCATGCCGCCCGGCTTGAGTGGCAAGAGTCCAAAGGGCTCGAAAGGGTCCCCGGGGAAGTCCAAGGGAGCCATGCCGCCCGGCTTGGGTGGCAAGAGTCCAAAGGGCTCGAAAGGGTCCCCGGGGAAGTCTAAGGGAGCCATGCCGCCCGGCTTGGGTGGCAAAAGTCCAAAGGGCTCGAAAGGATCCCCGGGGAAGTCACCAGGTCCAAAGGGTGCGAAGAGTCCGAAGTCTGCGAAGACCCCGAAGGGTTCCCCAAAAGGGTCCCCAAAGGGTTCGCCAAAGGAATCGAAATCATCTAAAGGGTCCGTTAAGTCCAAGGGGTCGGGGCCGCGAGGATCGGATGGTAAGGGCGGAAAATCACCGAAGGCTTCCAAAGGCCCCAAACCATTCCCAATGAAAGCTAAGGGTTTGGGAACACCAGAATCGTCGCCCAAGTCCGGAAAAGGAGCTAAGATGCCCATGACAATGAAGTTCAAAGGGAAACCCGCAGACCTCCCTTCCAAATCGGAAGGACCGCCGAAAGGAGGAGCCAAGTCAATGAAGGGGTCGCCGATGAAGTTGAAGGGACCACCAGGCGCGTTCCCGGGGAAGCCGCAAGGCGGGTCACCCAAGGGATCTCCCAAGGCGTTGACTAGCATGAAGGGACCACCGACTACGAAGGGACCACCGGGTCTGAAAGGACCCAAGTCGCCGAAAGACGGTGAGGAATCTGGAGGCAAACTGGGCTCCCCGAAGGGCGGAGCGGTGAAACCGAAGATGTTGGGCCCCAAGATGCTTAAGGGCCCTCCAGGCAAAGACCCTCTGACCGCGCCCGATGCGTCGGCGGGCAAGCCCAAGACACTGGCTGCCAAGGCCACTGACTCCGGCGGTCTTCCGTCGCCGACAAAGACGCTTATCAAAAAAACCCTCTCGAAGAAGGGGGGAGGGCCCGCCGGTCAGGAGGGAGCTCCACCGCCTGCGACGAAGCAGTTGCTAAGGCCGATGGCGTCAATGGAGGGCAAAATGACCGACGAGTCGGGCGGGAAGTTCCTGGATCCGTCGGCCGCGGCCAAGCCTGTGTTGGAGGCTCCTTCGCCGAAGCCGGCGGAGGACCTCTTTGCGAAGGCGTTTCCGGTGCTTTCGATGGAGTCGAGCCTGGAGAGCAAGCCGCAGTTCCAGGGGCAGATTCACCGGCTGAAGAAGTGCACCGCGGACATGGTGGTGGGCGTCCGCAGCTCGGTGGAACCCTCGCCGAGGGGCCCGCTGCCTGCGTTGGACCTGATTGGTGCAAAGGGCGAGGTGCTCGAGACGGTGCCGTTCTATCTTGACTTGGAGGCGTACTTCGTGCGAGTGGCGGCCGTGGCTTCACACGTATCGCGACGCGTGACTAAGGGCGATCAGACGGTGGCGCCCCCGATCACGAAGGTGGTGACGGCCCTTCGGGAGGCGGAGACTTCGAACGAGGCAGGAAGCGGCCTGCTGATGCTGGGCACGCCCTTCGGGCTCTCGGGCACGGTCTTCGGCAGCATCCCTACCAGCGGCCCAGCGGGCATCGGTGGCTACGGCGCCGTGGGCGGCAAGGTCCCCGGCGGAGACACGTCCGTGCCTGCGGGCAACGCCGCACCCTTCAGCAGCGTCATTGAGGGCCCGCAAGGCATCAACCTTGCTGGGATCCCCCCGCTGGGCGGCGGTCGGGTCGCGGGAGACGCCGCTGGGGCGGCCGGTCCGGGAGGCGCCTTCGGAGGAGCAATGGGCGGGGGTCTCGGAGGCGGAATGGGCGGTGGTATGGGCGGCGGTGCGGGTGGTGGCATGGGCGGTGGTATGGGTGGTGGCATGGGCGGTGGTATGGGTGGTGGCATGGGCGGTGGTATGGCTGGTGGAATGGGCGGCGGTATGGGCGGCCAGGCTGGGCCCATGTCGTTTACTGGAGGTGCCTTCGGTGGTCTGGAGGAGGGTGAGGAGGCAGACCTGACTGACGAGGAGTTGAGCGACGAGGACACGGACCTACAACGAGTGCTGGCTGCCGGCGGCTTCGACCTGCTTTACGCCGGAAACGTTGGCGGCGGCCTGGCTAGTTGGACGGGCCCGGAGGAGTTCGGTACGCTGATTAAAAGCGTGCTGGCGGGGACAAAGGCCCCACTGTCCGCGGTCATGGCGCCCACGGCGGGCGCCGGCGGTCCTGGCGCGGGTCCCGGCGGCGGTCCTGGCGGCGGTCCCGGCGGCGGTCCGGGAGGGGCAGCAG